GTATATTAGGTTGGTCTATCTCTTAGACAAAAGATATTTACAAGCAACCCTTCTTACAAAAAAAATAAGGGGGGCTTTTTAATCTTGAAATTAAAGCATGTTAACTACTACAACATGTAAAAATATGATCTAATCGTACAGAATAATTTTACATTTTTTATGTTTATAAGTTAAACCCTTTCAATGAATTATGTAAGCTACTTGTATTTGCATTTTAAGTGTCTTAGATAATGAAAAAGTAATTTACAGTATTAATGTATAGAAGTGAAATTCAATTCGATGAGAGCAAAATATTTGTCCTAGATTGTAAAAAGAGATTCGATAGTCTAAGTGATTTTTTTAAAGCTAGCTATCTTTTAGATGAATATATTACTGTTGCTTTGAGGGGAAAAAATTAATCAAGGGAAAATAAAATGAGGGCAACATCACCACACGATTGTGGATGATATTAGTTGCAACATTATCAAGAAAACAAAAAATTATGATTAGAATAAGTTACTGATAAGGCCTCAAATTTACTAATTAATGCATGAGTGCCTTGTAAATGATGTTTTTCTATGATTTAGTAGGGAGACACATACTTACTAATCACAATTAGGTAGTGATTATGTTTGAAGATTTCCTAATAAAGAAAGACGGAGATATTTTGAAGCGCTAGTTAGTTAGTTAAATACGTGAACTTAAATGAATTTTCATTTATTTCTTGGAGTCCACGTTTAACCTTCTTAAGGATATGGGAATAAGTCACATGATGTCTCCATCTTTACTTGGACTTAGTATTATCACGTGAGACAACATGAATTTAGTTATTTTAATCTTGCTTACTTTTTAACTGGTGCGGTTCAAAAAGTGAATTCAAAATTTAAACTTTAAAATTTTAGGATTGAACCTATTATATTTTTTAAATTATGCTAATCTTGCTTACTTTTTAATTGGTGAGGTGGAAGAGGAAGTGCGTAGTCAACACGCACATAATATTCATTCGGTATCTGATACTCACTGATTCCATCAATTCGAATATTCGAGAATTACAAGAAAATACACATGATTTCATATCATAACAAAAAAAGGCTCATATTTTTAAGCTTTACTTGACCTAGCCCATATTGTACATATTTTGAAAACACTAGCTCTTGCAAATTCAAAATCTGTGTTCTAACCATTGCTTCAAAAAGCTACGGAGTTAAATTTGTGTTCTCACAATTATTGCTTTCACTCTATCTTCTTCTCACATCTTTTACATGGGCCCGTTCTCCATTACTGCTTCTCCCCATATGTCACCTGGTTGCAATGTAAAAAAATTAAAGAAGTCCACCATTGAAGGCCATTCAAAGCTTTGCTTTCGAAAATAGAATTTTTTGAGTTTGTTAATTGTTTGGATTAGGTGTTGTTCCAATTGATTGAAAATATCAAAATGATTTCAAAATTTTAAAGTTGAAGTGATTTGGAGTAGATTTGAGTTAAATTTCAGAAAAGACGCAAGGAAGAAGACGAAGTCAGTTTTTTTTTATAATTATGTATAATCTGGTATAATAGTGTATAAACACATCTTATACACTTTTATACACCTTTATACAAGCGTCTATAGACGAACTTCTTCCACGATTTTTAGTTGCAATTCTTGTTCAAAACCAGTCCAAATCTCCATTAAATGTTTTCAAATTTTATATACAACCTCCTTATACTATTTCTAACAAGTCTAAATAACACCGGCTCCAAATTTCTCACAAAATAAAATTCGGAATTTAACCCACATATTTAAGCTTGTTAAAAATCTAATTTTCACCACCCAAATGGATTTGGATTGTTCAACTAATATTTGAGTCACAGTCACTGATCAAAAATTAAACTTCAAAGCTTGAGCAATCTTTTTTTAAAATTAAATAGTAATTTTGAGAACCTATTGTAGTTGGATGTTGAATCTTAGCCTATTATTTTTGGGCAAGTTGGTTGTAAATTGAAATATTGGGCTATAAAATTGAAAAATAGGAAGTCCAATTGTTCTTATATAAAATTTTCCCGGATTAAAAAGGAGAATACTAATATGAATTTCTCCATATTCCTAGACATGTTCAAGTTCTCATATAATAGGAAATCCATTGACCAAAATCAGATTTTACATATGATTAATTAATGTAGATTTACTTTTATTATTTTAGTAGATTTGATATTGAAATAGTAAACGTTTGAGTACATAACGGGGGAAGGTAACAGTAAATGCTTTAGATTGGAAATAAAATACTATGGGATTCTATCCACAATTTAAACGTGCATGCGTTATATTAGGTAGACCACGTATTTGGTAAATAACTTCTTTTTGTCCTTTTTCTCTTTTTAAACCCTTTTTGTAATATTTCATTTTCCTTAATTTTGTCATACAACAATAATTAAGATGTCAACCTTCGAGAATCCTCACAAAAACTAATTCCAAGTTCCAAATTTTGTATTAGATAAGCATAATACATTAGCACCCGTTTGGCCATAAATTTTATGTATATTTTTTCAATTTTTTTTTTTGAAAACATTGTTTGTAATATGATCAGTTTTTGAAAAAAAATTGAATTTTTTTTTCCAAGTTCCCAAAAACTAGTTTATGACAGTTTTTAGGTGAAATTAAAATTCTTTCACGCAAAACTTGAAGTTCTTTTCAAATAAAATGCACGCCCAGATACAAATTTAACTTTTAAAAATTATTTTTCAGCACAATTTTAAAAACTATTTTTCAAAGTGCAAAACTTGGCTTAGGCACAGTGTTTGTTACGATTACCACAGCCATCAAATAACAAAGATCCCAAGTAGCCATGGCCTTTTATTTTGTTATATTTTAATGTTTTATTTCGATCGACAAACTCTTCATTTGATCTTTCACTCAATGCATTAGTTGGAATTCAAGAAAAAAGAAGAGTTATAATGTAAGATCTGATAATTAATGGAAATTATTAGCTGAGGAAAGGATCTAACTACAATCTATGCAAAAACTGAAGCGTATAATGGGAATTAATTATTACAGCTTTTAGGTAAGGTAAGCTATAGATTCTATTTTACAGTTATTGCTTTAAAACCAATAAGGAAAGGATTTGACTATAATCTTTTGCAAATACCTATTCCTTAGGTAATTAGATATTATCGGATTTAAAAATGGTAACTAAATATTGTTGGGTTTTTAAGCATTAAAATAGGCTTAAAAGAGGGTGAGTGAGAAATGGAGGGAAAATGAAATATTTATGTTTCATTTGAGATTCTCTCCTTGACAAAGGGACATTGTCCCATATTGGAAGAGTAAGAGGTTTTTGATGGGAATATAAGCAATTGCTCTTCTTCTAGCTCTTAAAGAGTTGAGAAGAAGGCAAGCCTCGCGCCGTCGTCGCTCGCTTCGGCTTCGGCTTTGGTCAAATGATTGATTGATTAATTTTTTGGACCAAATTTATTTGTTAATAGTAAATATTAACAGAAATGTTATTAAATATCCGTTTTAATAATAGAATATTAATATTAATAATATTAAATCCAACGGAATATTAAAAGTTTTTCCGTTATCCGTTTTCCGTTTTTCGGTTGTGTAACTGAAAATTAACCTCCCTCTTGAATTCCCGGTTTATTATTGCGTAAATAGCCATTTATATTATGATATTTATGCTATGACCGTTTTGCATAAACAGTCATTCTGAAGAGTTGCACCTCTTCAGTTTTCAGCCCAACATTGGCTATAAATACAAGTCCATTCTCTCAGATTTTCCATACGATTTTCTGAGTTCTCCTCCTTTCTTCTGCATACTTTTAACTTCAAAGAAAGCAACAGTAAGTGTAATTTGCTACTGAACTTTGTGTTCGCTGAAACACTGGGGTTTTAAGTACCACTACACTAGTGTGTAATTCGTTCTATCGTTCTATCCTGGGAGGAAACAATCTATAACCTTGGGTACTAGGAGGGGATTAAATTCCTTAAGAAAACACTGTGAATTCAGTGGGCTCGGATTAACTTTTGTTTCATTTACATTTTCTGTTTATATTATATTTTATTTTCTCCAGAATTATTTTATAAATACAGTATACTAACAAATATTATTATGACATACTAGTGACATTGTCGGAAGAATTGGAAAAAAAAAACGAGTCAACAAACTGGTATTGGTCCGGTAAGCCGAACCCCCTTCGTCCAAAGATATACTGTCTATATAAGGTCAAAGTTTTATATATATATATATATATATATATATATATATATATATATTAAATGTTGAATCCATTTAGCCTTTTCATATATTTATCTTTTTTATTTTTATAATTTCCTTGGTGAAAGTTTTGTTTCCGCGCACTGTATCTGTCTTATGGTCAAGCAAACACTCTCTTAAATTGTAAACGTTAATTAAATTGCATAAACACAAGAATTGCATAAGCTTCAATGTTTGTTCTCTGCTAAAACAGAACCAACATCAAAAGTACTAAATTTAAATTTTTTATTTAACTCATGCAAATATTAACATTATCGATCATTTTGCTAGTCTCAAATCAATCATTCACAATTAATGGTTAATTTGTCTAGTTAAGATAAATATATCATTAAGAAAAACCTAAGGAGTACAAAAAAATTAGTATTCCATCAATACATGTTGAGTTCACTAGCGACTCGTTTGGAGTTGTTATGTATCATTTTATAATGTATCGTATCGTATTGTTGTATACAGTATTTAGATAAATTGTATTGTTTGCCATTGTTTCGTGATATCATGCACCAACATCAAAAGTACTAATTTCAAGTTTTTATTTAACTCATGCAAATATTGACATTATCATCTTTGCTAGTCTCAAACCAATCATTTACAATTAATGGTTAATTTGTCTAGCTAAGATAAATATATCATAAAGAAAGACGACCTAAGGAGTACAGTAAAATTAGTACTCCATCAATACATGCTGAGTTCACTAAGCATGATACTAAACCCTAAAAACAAAGTTAAAATAAAACACAAGACATCAAAAACCATGATCATAGAATTAAACTAGACCACATTTGATCTCTTGCAAAGTTTCAACAATTCTTGGACAACTTCATCAATCTCTTCATCTCCTTTGACTCTTATTGTTTCACTCATTTTCCTTGCTTTTGCCCTAATGGATTCTCCCCTTTGTTCCAAAACAACAAAATTGATAACTTGAGCTATTTTTTCACTATCAAGTTTACCATGTTTGTCTCTAACAACTTCCAAACCAACCCCTACTTCTTCCACAAGTCTAGCATTCAATGGTTGATCAAGATGCATGGGCATAGCAATTATTGGAACGCCGAGTTTCATACTTTCCATTACAGAATTCCATCCACAATGACTAACAAATCCTCCGATATTAGGGTTTCCTAATATTTTTACTTGTGGTGCCCAATCTTCAACTACCATTCCCCTTTCCCCTACTTTCTTGAAAAACCCTTGTGGTAATGCTTGTTCAAGTTTGAGTTTTTCACCTTTTGGAAACCTCAAAACCCATATGAAATTAACCCTACTTTGCTCTAGCCCATGAGCAATCTCTTCCCTATCCTCTTGAGATAGAAAATATTCACTTCCAAAAGAAACAAAAACAGTTGACCCTTTTTCTTTCTGATTCAACCATGTTAAAATTTGCGAGTTGCCATCTTCACTTGTTGTTTCTTGAACAAGTGGACCAACGGGGATGATTTTCTTCTTAGTTAAACTAGATATATAATCACAATATTTACCATCAATTTCCTTAAAACCCTTGATCAAAACAATGTCAAAAGATCTCTTAAAACACAACTTAACACTAGTTTTATCTTTTTGTTGTTGCTCAATAGGCTCCAAATCTTGATTTTTCAGCATACGTGTCAACTCATAATCACGATAATAAATAGAGGACGAGAAGGGAAATTCCATATTAGGGTACCTGAAAGTATGAAACATGTACGAAAACATGGTTGCACTACTTGTGACAAATACAACTGCTGGAATATTTTTTTCCAATGCTAGCTTTGGTGCCCATGGCTGAAGTAAATCATATAGAAGTAAATCCGGTTCAACAGTATTGAGAATTTGGCTGAAAATTGGACGTGACTTCGCGAATGCCTTCTTAAGTGTGGACATGAGATGGGGCGGGAGGCCATTGGTTGTGTGGTAATGACGAGGAAGATCGGAAAGAGATGGAAGTCGAAGTTCGACGAGATGAATTTTCTCCGTTAAGTTTTCGTTAATAAGCTTTTGTTTGATTGAAATGAAATTTCCAGGAGTTGAGCATAAGAAAATGGTGAAGTTTCTTGTTATGAGCTTTTTGGCTAACTCAAGAAATGGAGAAATGTGTCCATGTCCTAACCATGGAAACATCAAAATACGAACTGGTTTTTGGTTGATGATCTCCATTGAAGCATCCATGAAATTATATTGGAAAACTGTTTTTTCAATCTTTGATTCTCTATTTTTTTAGGCTAATGTAGTTGAGAAGGGTGATGTTGTTATGAATAGAGACTTACAATTTATAATGGAATTCATTGTTATAATTATGTTAAATTTTCATATAAATGGAAAGTAGGTCTTGAACGAAAATCTAATATATATTTTCCAAGTTTTAAGACTTTAATCTTTTTATCTTGTGTATCCTAAGATCATAAAATAAGATGAAGAATTAGCTTAAATAGCCGCTCGTCTAATCTCTTAAACTAAAAATAACCACCAGATACATAATACATGTATAACTATGTATAATTTATATTTACCTACTAGAAAAAGTAAACAAGGAATCTGACCGGCTATTTGTATAACAGAATAGTTACGTTATTGAGGATATAGAATTTATCAACAAAGTCTTCATCTGATATTCATTTAATTAATGCATGACTTGGTCTTTCAAGGAAAAAAAAAGAGTCATAGAATGGAAAGTGTCGTGATAACTTAATGGAAATTCGGTACGAACAGATTTAGTACAATAAAGTGGGGGAATCATATTCGTAACGCTAATAAGGAATAGATAACTTAAGTTGATTACCAATATTAGTCATTAGATAATTCCTCTAATTTTATACATATTCACTTTCGAAAATACTAATATGCGGATCGAATTATCCAGTTCTTTAAATCATGAATTAATTTTTCAAATTATGAAGAGATAAACAAAGGACTTTAATACATTTCCTTCGGGTGTGGGGCACTTCTTGCTGAAAATTTATATAGTCTATATAAGGTTTATTTTTTTTATGTATATGTATTAATTAGATGTTGAATCCCTTTGATTTTACGCGTGTTCACTTTTTTTATTTTTTGAATTTATTTGGTGAAAATTCTACCTTCACCTCCCGTACATATTTCTGTGAGTTCGCTTTTTCGTATTTACCATTTAAAGGGGAATAAAGAAAAATAATTACAAGTTATTATCCTATATATATAAAGCTATTGTACATTTAAGATACTCTAATTTAATGGTATCATTAGGAGGAGGATACTCCAATTAGTGATACGTTACTCATTAACTAATTAACGTACTCCGTTTACAGTTATTGCTTTAAAACAAACAAGGAAAGGTGCAAATATTTTTTCCTTTTGGACAAACTTTCTCCAAAAGTTTCAAACTAATCCTTTGAGTTAATAAAGGTAAGAGAAGCGCAAAAGATATTCTTACATTTTTGTAATATATGCAGCATTTTAAGAGTTACGTTCTTAGATATTCTTGGATGCCATAAAAGGTAATTAATTATTCAAGTGATATTATCGATAAAATGGAAGGAAAATAGTCTTTACGATCAAAAAGTAATTACAAGTTACTTTAATTATATATATATATATATATATATATATATGAATTTTGAAAATCTTTAACCAATGTGAATTTAAAAATTTTATTTTCACACTTCTTCCAAAACCTCATTAAAACAAATCCAACTATGAAAACAAATTGCCATTTGATATGAAATTACAATTACAGATTGTATTATAATATATTGCATATGCAGAAATTTGAAATCAATTGATTTGATAACGGAAATACTAAGAATTTTAGGTGTAATTTTGATAAGTTATGCGTCTTTTGTTTTGATGATTTGACAAACTTCATGAGAGAACCAAATAAGGAACCTGATACAATTAGTTTCCTTGCGTTCAGAGTAACTAGTCAGATGTCTGGTTCAGTTCTCAATGAAATTAGATAAGGGAACAATAGAGTGAACAGATAGGGATCAATTCCCCTGGTCGTCGTGCGGTCAACTCTACAGCTGTAAAAGCTGTTGCACTGTATAGTCTGGTAGGTTGCTGCACTGTACCGTCTGGCAGCAGTAAAGCAGCACAGCTGTAACTTGCTAAGGCCAAACTAAAGGACACTTAATTGCATCATCCTTGATGACATCACACACACATATTATCAACATGAGGCAAGTGATTTCATTTTCTCTAACACTTGCAAATTCAAAAATCATATTCTCCCAAGGCTAGCCATCATCTCTCTCAAGAACAAAGCTGCTGCAACTTCAAGGACCAGATCTAAAGATTGAAGATATCTTAAGTCCTTAGGTCTGTTGAGTCTTTGTTATTTTGTTCTTCATTTGTAATCCTACACTACTTTCAAGAAGTGTCTTTGTAGGACGGATTTAAACTACTGTTTGGTTTAGTTTCTTGACTAGAGTTAGTTAAGGGTTGTTGCTTTGTAATAGAGTTATCGCAAATGGCTTACAATAGAGTTATTGTAAGGGGTGAGGTATTAAGAGTTTAATTCCTAGATTGCAATAGGTTGTAATATGAAGTTTGCTCGGTTTAGTGGAGTTGAAATCCTACTAGGGTAGGTCGTGGTTTTTAATCCCTTGAGCAAGGAATTTTTCACATATCGCGTGTTCTTTATTTACTGCCTATTTACTGTGGGAGCAGATAGAGAACCTGGTTCCCTGTACTGTTTGGTTTTATAGTCTGTTGCTTATTGTGGGAACCGGTAGGGCTTTGATCCCTAACGGATTTTCAGTGAAAATGATTAGACATTTAATACTTTCAATTATGGTTTTCGTCTTTACTATTTCGACCGATCATTTTTAAGTTTCATCTCTATGTCTTTGACATATCCTAAGGTTTTGATTCTTTGATTATTTATCTTGTTGTCTTTTGCCTGTTATCTTTAACTCTGTCAATTAAGTTGTTAATTGATTTGCTTACCTAAAATAGGGTTTGAATTCAGTACCCATATTTCCTTATTTATGTTTTACCTGCTCTTACCCTATTTATGTATCCGTATTATTGGCTTGATTGTGTGTTCTGATTCCTAATTGATTCCGAAAACTGTTTCTTACCTTATTAACCTTGCTCTTAATTACAGATTGATTCTATGTGAGATTTTTCCTTAAATTAAGTGGTACTTATTTGATCATGTCCTCTTAATTGATTCCTAACTGATTACTAATTGATTTTTCGTACCTTATGTATGTGTGATTGGTTCATTACCTTATGTGACCTACCCTATTGCATGCTATAAAAACCCTTCTTGTCTTGAATTCTGATTGTCAAAACAGACTCTGACACTTACACGAACACACTCAGAAAGAAACACACACACACACACACAAACTCTTGCTCTCACCTTTCTGTTACTTGTGTTTGCTACATTGTCTAGCCGGCTGAAAGCCAAGGCTAGACTATTGGATTCTGCATACTTTCAACTTCCTGTTTGCTATTTCTTAACTGGTATGTCTCCACTTCTGCCATCATTCAATATGTTATGTAATTAGACCTATGTGCTTCATGCTTATTGATCTTAATCAGCATGTCTACTTCTATGTAATTAGATCTATGTGCTTCATGTTTATTACTCTTAATCAGTATGCCTACTTCCATGAAATTAGACCTATGTGCTTCTTGTTTTTCAGCATGTCTGTTAAACCTATGTCTATTTGTTTCTCAACTAGCATGATTTCTGTCCTGATTTAACTGTTCACCCCCTAACAGGTTCCTGAATAATTCATGATTTTATATGCTTCCAACTTTTGCTACCCTTCTGTATAACTGTCTGATTGGGACCCTAATCCCAGCATGCTATTCTTTAATACATGTCCATAGGATAACCTAGTGATAACTAGTGAACTAAGTCAATCCCCAGGCAATATGGAACTTTGATTGAACTAGCTGTGACTCTTTTCTGCTGTGTTGTTGATTGATATCTGAGCTCAATCTGGTAAATGTGGTTCTGTTGCAAATGTTGATCTTGTGATCTGTTTCTATGCACTTCTGAAATCCAAACCATATTTTTCCCTAAAAACTATCTCCTACTTTTATACGCTATTTTCAACTCCTAATCTTAGTTAACTAGGGTCTTGCTACCCCCAATGTGAGCACTGCTTAGGGTCCATGAGACTTCTCTGAACTCTGACACATTGGGGCTAGTTTCCAATCCTTTATGAACTCCTTCTGAACATTTGTTCTCTAGTGTGAGCACTGCCCTGGGTTCTCGAAGCCCCTGGGAACTCTGACACACTAGAGATTTGGGTTCTTGGTGCTTTGCCAATGGTTACTGTGTATCTCTGAGCTTAGCTGTTATGGTTTGAAGGCCTGGGCTATCCGGATGCATTGGGCCTGCTGCAGGCCTCCAATAGTTATATACTTTGTATTCTATTCATTTGCTTATGGTCTGTAATAATTATTTGTAATAACGATTGGGCAATAGTGAATTGGGGAAAACTGGGGCTAGTTTAATGTTTGCATGAGAATGGGGTAGAAAACCTGCTTTAGGTGCCTGTTTCTTTCAAATATTTTTCACTACTATATGTTAGATATCCTACCTAAAGGTTATTTACTCGTTCAGTTATATTCTTTTACTGCATGCAGTAGATAACATGCCTATAGGTATTTGTTTTAATACATTCTGTTACTATGTGCGGTAGATAACATGCCTAGGATCAAAATAGTTATGAATATCCCGTCAAGATTCACTACTGCATTTGAATCATGCCTACAAAGTTTCAAAATCATTTCTGCATTTTAAAAATCACGCCTATAAAGTTTTAAATCATTTTTGCATTTAGATGCCATGTCTATAGGAACTTTCAGAATCATTTCTGCATTTAGATACCATATCTATAGGATATTTCAGATGATAGATACCATGTCTATAGGAAATTTCAGAACCATTTATTTGCATTTAGATACCATGTCAATAAGAAACTTCAGAATCATTTCTGCATTAAGATACCATGCCTATAAGGTCTTAAGATCGGTTCTTCTACACTTAGGTATCATGCATGTAGGGTCTAAAAGATAAAAATCAGCCTGCTAAAAACAGTAACTGTTTACAGCTCAGATACCCGGTTTATAAAGTTCTGTCCGACTATCACTTAGGCAATCTTGTAGGTTAATTGGATTCTGGGTTTAAAATTGCTATTTTCCTGCTGCTTGAAACCTGCCCAAATTCA